GCTCGGTAGGCTCCTTTTAGCGTATACTCCCAAAAACTCATAGGTTTGTGGCCTGGTCATTCCCATTCGTCCGGGTCGAACGACAATCTTGCCACTACCGTGGTCGGTTCGTACATGTGGTATCCTTTGCATGTGTCCCTTACTACCCATACTTGCATCAGCCCTCCCCATTTCTCTATGGCATCCAGGTCTCCATTCCTGATGAGTTTAGAGAACCGAGCGTCCGGGAGCTGGGGTTGAAAGACCTCCAATGTGCACTGGCCCTCAATTTTGTGTGCTCTATATATGACAGGAGGCCGGGTCTGGTCTGCGAACTTCGCCACTGAGTCGTTTTGTTGGATTGAGCGGCCCACTTTGAGGGCAAGGCGCCAGGGCAGTGGGATGGTTTCCCTCAACGGGCAAGCATTAAACTCCACCGACTTGGGATGTTCTAATCTACTCTATAGCTGGTCAGAGATGGCCCTGTCCACATTTATTGGGTCCCAAAGGTCCCCTACAGTGAAGACACCTTTCTTTGCCCAAGTCAGCTAGGGCGAGTTGGTGGTAAGAGTGAAGGGATTGCCTGCATCATCGAGGATGTAGGGGTTGCCGAACAGGGGTTGCCTCCATACGTTGTGCCATCTGTTCGGGGGCCTCCTCAACTTCGGACCCTTTTTTCTCTATAGTCTGAGCACGTTGGGCCACAGAGGGTCAATAGGAATGTCAAGTCTGGTGGCCATCGCTGGGGTGTTGGTCCGTGCCCGATGTGGAGGGCCAGGAATCGGCCAGTGGGAGTTGGTAAGCCATCGGAAGGGGTGCACTCGGATGGAAGCAGCCGGTTGTGGGGCCAAATTGGTTATTTGCAACCAGGCCAACGGGCCCCACAGAATGCCGTTCCCTATGAGTAGCCTGACCAGGATTTTGAAAATCAAGGCTTCACTTTCCCTTTTCGGATCTAATATCCCTAGTCCCCCTGCAACTCTCGGACTTTGCTCATGCAGCCCTGGGCTTTAGCACTATTCTTCCATAGGTAGGTTGTGAAAGTTTTTTCAGCTTAGAGTAATGTTGTTGTTTCAACGGCCATACTACTAGCTTGTACTAGATAGCTGCCAGTACGGCATTGTTAATTGCAAGAGCACGGCTGACCAGTGATGCATGTAATTCATCCCATTTGGTCAGGTGGTCAACTGCCATATACACCAGCGTGTCCCCTTGGTCCGGTGGAGGTCTTACAACCGTTAATCTCACCCCCAAAATTTTTATAGCCTCTTCCCAGCCGGCCCATGCAACACTCGGTTCGGGGGGAAGGGGGGGGCTGTCCTTGTGGGTGGAGCCACCATCCTTGCGTTTTGGACCCCCAATTAATTTTCATGTCAGCGGAAAAGATGTATTACTTGAGTCACGGTCTGCAAGCTGGTCGCATCTGCACGTATGAGCACAGTAAGGTCGTCTGCAAATAGTCATGTGATCGGGATGTTGTGCTCTGGGAGATTAGGCATCGATATTTTGTTGATGAGAGGATGCGCTCTGATCGCAAAGGCTAGGGCCTCCATGACTATCACAAAGAGCAGGGGTGCTATGGGAACCCCTTGTCTAACCGATCTTTGGAGTTGGATTGGTGGTGACAAGTGTCCATTTAGCATAATGTTGGTGGAGGCCGTCCTGTGAAGGTGTTGCACCCAACGACAGAAGGTCGGGCCAAAAATAATTTTGATCAGGCACATATCCAAGAAGTCTCAATTAACATGGTCGTACGCCTTTTCAAAATCAATGAATAAGATCGCCGCATGGCGGGCGTATTTGATGGTCTCGTTGACCAAGAGAACATTATTTTGGATGTTTCGATTGTGCATAACCCCGTTTGGTCCGGGTGAATCAGCATGTTCATCAATGAGAGCAGCCAATTGTTCAGGGGCTTAGCAACCAGTTTGTAAGGGACCGGGAGGAGGGTGATTGATCTATAGTTTCTAATATCCTCCTTGTCCCTTTTTTTTATATGTCACCCCTTGCCCTATCATATCCCTGAACGCGCCTTCCTTCTGCATGACAGTTACGAAGTCCACAAGGTCGTCATTTAGGAGGTTCCAAAAAAACACCCAAAACTCTGTGGGAAATGAGTCTAGCCCAAGGGTTTTTTCATCTTCCATTCGGTGCAGGGCCTCCCATACCTCGTGAGAGGACAAGGGTTTGTCTAATTCACCCTTTTGTATGAGGCATGAGTGGATGGCTGAAAATAGTGGTTCTCTTGCCTGTCGTCTGGGCACTTTTGGGGAGTTTGAGAAGTGAACAAATTTTGATAGTACTGGGAGGCATAGCCAGCTATGGTGTAGGCATTGAAGGCTATCTGGGCACTTTCAATCAATGGATGTTTCAGCCTTGGGACTGTTGCCGCCCTCGTTCGGGCCTTTGCCTTGTTGAAGAATGACTTGGTCATTGTTCCATCTGTGTGGTCTTTCTTGATTCTTGCCTAAATCCTCCATGCCTGGGTTTGCTGTTCCATTTACGCTTGGAGGTGATCACGGACCTCTTGCATTTTTTAGAAGGTCGTGTGGTTCAATGGGTCGTCCATGAGCTGCTCGTCCTAGTTTTCAAACTCTCTTATAAGCCTGTGAAGGACAGCCCTTCGGTCCCTCTCTTGTTGGAAGGAACATTTCTTGGCCCTTTCCCTTAGTTGTGTCATCCCTTGATTGAACCAATCCACTCTATCTCCCGACTGTGGTTTTTGGGTTTGCTATTAACGCCAAAATTCATTGACCATGTCTTTGAATCGTTGGAATGACTGATCAAAGGACTCGCACAGGCTGACAGTGGTGATTTCCGCAGTGGTAATTAGACCCAGCAGGTCCTTTGACACAAGAGTAAGGTCGATCCTAGAGTTGGCCAAGCCACGATCACCTCTAGTGGAAAGAAAATTGTAGGCTCTTTGTGCTGGGTGCGACAATCTGTATGCGTCTTCTAATCCGTTATCTGCCATAAGTTGTTTGAGCATTAGAATGTCTGGGCCGAGGTTGGGCAGTCAGGAGTCTGGGGTGTGCTTTGTTGAGAGGTCGACCTCCGATCCAAAGTCGGATCAAGCGTGGTATTAAAGTCACCTGCCATAATGAGCGGGGCATCACTCGGCAGGTGCTGGTGGAGAGTAAGCCACAAGTCTACCCTGTCAGTCGGATCGTTACGTGCATATATATTTACCAGGTAAAACTCCTTTTCTTCGTGTGCAACCCACCTCCTGTGTTGGTGGTCGTATGGGGCTGAAATCGGCTTGAGTCTAAAGGAAAGTAGGAGCCAGATTGCCACGCCCGTAGATGCTCTCTCTCTTGTGGGTGCTGAGTAAATTGTGTATGGCCAAACAAGTTTCGTTTTTGCTGTGTGCGGCAGGGTATCTTGTAAATGGGTTTCTTGGACACAAACAACGTCCGACCATTTGTCGGTGATCTAACATTTGAGCATATTCCAAATAACATTTTTATTTTCCACCGATGCGTGGATGAGCGAGCAGATGTCAATGTCCGCTTGGGCCAACTTTTTTGCCCACTGGGGCGGCTTCCTGATACTGGGGAAGATCGGAGGGGAAGGCGGCCATTGAGCGGGTTGAGAGGGTTGCACAAGACCCCCACGAATGGGCGGCAAGGATGAGGGAGGGGGAGAAGGTCGTTTGTCGTGTGATGGAGAGCGGAATGGGTGTTTGGAAGTTGCCCTGCCAATGGGTCTTCGGTTCGTTGTTCCAATTGTCAATTGCTCATTACAAATGGCGGTGTTATAGTCTGTGTTTGGTTTATGGCCATCAGTCCAGTATGTCACTCAGTCCTCTGTCATTGACAGGGAGCTCAGTAGGGGGGTCGTCCCATTGATTGTCCTCTTTCAGCACATTGAACTTCATGAATATCAGGACCCTGTTGAGGGTCCAGCGAAGTTTGTCCTAAACCGTGCTGAAGAGATGTCCATGAGTTGGTGGTGGGTGAACCACCTGAAACTTGTTTTGGAGTTGCAAATCCTTGTCTTAGGATCTACCAGCAGTATAACCGGTGTGATGCCTTTCGGGAATGATAGGGACTCCGACATCATGGCCCCCAGGGCATCTTTAGTCCCCGTCTCTGCAATCCAATGCTTAAGCCTTTTGAGAATGACTGTTGTAGATGGCTTTACCCTCCACCCTTCAATGGAGAGACCATTTGGCTGTGCTTTGGCTGAGCCCTATCACCCATTCCCCTTTATCCCTTAGCCGAGTGAGTGGAAGGATACCTACTCTGGGTGGCATTTCCTTCGGTATGATTCCATCATCCTCGAGTCTCACCAACTCCCTCAGTTTTTTGGGGGGGAAATCCACGGTGGGATCATTGTTTGCTGACTTGTCATCATCGTGATTTTATCCTTATTTTGCAGGTCTGGCGTTGGGGTTGGGGAGGGGGGAGAGGAACAATTTCCTTGGCACCTTGTCGTTGTGGGGGTAATGGTGGGTGCTGCACCTGCTGGTTCTGAAGGTATATGTATAGATGTGATTGCCCTTCCTCCCAGTGCCCGCTGTGCTGCGGGAGTGAGTGGAGCGTTGTGCAAAGCTCGTGTATGAGCACTTTGGGCCACGCCAAACCTTCATGGATGAAGGCTTCGTCTAGGGAGTCTCCCTGACGGCAGGTGTCGTTGGTGGTGCCCCCTTGGAAACACAAGAAATCATTCACGACCAGGACAATGGGTGCCCCCACATCCATCCAGTCAATTTCTGAAATGACCTTGTATTTTTCTACTGTGACTAAGACCCTTGGGCTATACATCAACACCGTTTTGGCCTCGCCCCAGTACTTGTTACCCAGCTTATCGGCTGGTTTGCCATCTGTCAGCGAGACAATTTTTGACAGGGTCCAGTCTGTTGCGAATGCCAGTTTTTGATGGACCTCGTCACTTGTCATGAGCTGAGGGGCGGCGCCTTCCTCCGGTGGCGAACTTTGTGGCGGGAGGGCCTCCACATCCATTTCCTGAGAGGGACTTGATGTTACTCTTGCGGAGGAGGTACAGGGGGAGGGGTAGAGGTGTCCATGTCTTGTGGCATCTGCAGTCTGTCATACCAACCCAACAGGGTAATGGATGGGCATTCTGGCATTTAGGAAATTTGTTGGTTTCGGGCCATTTGGCTTTCTATTTCCTGCTGCCAAAAGATCTGCAACTGGTGCTGTTGCTGCTGCAGGACGTGCTGCTGTTGGCAGCACAGCTGTTGCTGCCATTGCATATGCAGGTGTTCCTGGGTCTGTTGCTGGAGCAGCAGTCGCTCATGGTACTGTTGGTGTTGATATTGTGACAGTTGTGCTTGCAGCAGTTTGTTTAGGTGCTCCTCACATTCTTTCTGCTGTAGTTCGTGCAGTTGCTGTTGTTGGTGGGCTTGCGCTTGCGTGTGTTGCAACAGTTGGAGATGCATTTGTTGCTGCATCAAAAGTTCCTATTGTTGCTATTGCTGCTGCAGCTGTATATGTACGAGTTGTTGAGCCTGCTCCATTTGGATTTGTTGTTGGTGCTGCTGCAGAATCTGCATCTGCTGTTGCCAGTGTTCTAAGCGTTGTTCTTGCACATGATGTTGGCAGTCATGCTGGGATTGTTGTTGAAACTGTTGTGACTGTGCCGCTAGCGTTAGCACTTGGGCCTGAGGCATGACGGGTTTTTGTTCCCGCATGGTCCGCATTTGCTGCTGGTAGTGCTCCTGCCGATGTTGTTGGATCGAAGCACGGTGCTGCCGGTAGATCAGCTCCTGCTGTTGGCTCTGTTCTTGCAGATGTTGTTGGTGCATTGCTTGCACTAGCTGGTAGGCCTGTTGCTCCATCGGCTGTTGCTGGTGTTGCTCGTGCAGCTGCTGACCACACGCTTGCTGCTGGTTTTGACGTTGGTCTTGAAGTTGGAGTTGGTTTTTCTGCACGGTTTGTGCAAGCTGTTAGGACTGCAGGAGGTTAGACAGCGATCCCTGAGAGGGCCGCATTTGTTGTTGGCAGAGCCCCTGCTGTTGGTGTTGATTCACGGGAGGACGATGTTAGCGGGGCTGCTCATGTTGCTCCTCTAAGGGTTGATATTCATGGAAAGTGGAGTTGTGAACATCGGTGTTTTCCTCGGGCAAGCTTCGCTTTTGTTGGCGGTCCGGTGACTGAGGGGCAGTTGCAGCAGCGTTTGCGGCTGCTTTGGGGGCTCGTCGGTGTCCCATTCTATGAGCCCTTGACTACCCCCTCCCAGTGCCTGTGTTGTCTTAGAGGGGAGCTGCAGAAACTTTGTCTCCCCTGTAAGCACAGAAACCACCTCTTTGAGCCTGAGGTACCCCTCCTGTCCCAACTCGGAAGGGCAGGCGGTCCCGTCACAGGGGAGATGGGGGCTCCCAACCGCCCCAACCTAGCTCATGATAAGCCCACCAACTTCCCAGTATTCCTACAGCTAAAAAACACCAGCACATTAAAATCCAAATTCGTATCAGTTTCCAATAGGCACTTCCAAGAGGTCGCGTTATGGTGCGAAGCACAGAATTTAAGATCACTGCCTTTCTTTTTCCACAGTGATCTTTCAGCTTCCCACTTTCATTGATTTCACGCGCAGTGTGTTTTTTTTGTTGAGTTCCGGATACACATAAAACAAAAACCAATAGTACTGGTGCAAGGGACCCGACTGTCCACAACTTGCCAGAGTGTATCACAATGCATGCCACATTACCATTCACACAGATTATGAACCATCAGACGGCACAAAGTAGAGATGAGATGTGAACCAAGATGCGCAGCATATATTATCTCCAACACATTATAAGAGTATCTTGAGTTCAAGAACAAACAGTGCGATTTGCCTCTCCCTCTCATACAATCGCAATGTGAGGCCTGGCTCATCCAGCGCCACCTCTCAGCAACAAGTTAAACGCAGAACAGGTATGTTTCCACCATAGCCAACATCGTACATCTGCCCCTTCCCTCTCTCTCTCCCTCAAGATCTCTGTCTCAGTTCTCTTCTCTCATCATGCATGCACACTCCTTCTACGAGAATCTACTTTGAATGCTACTCACTGAAGACTAATTACTAACCCTCTACTACACTAACTAGTTGGGGCAGCTATGGCTGCTACTTGCAAACCAGCGCCCAGTCTTCTTCCTCTCTTAGCGCAGCTYCTCCTGCCAGCGCTCACCCAGCCAGCCAGCGCACAAGTGCCTTCAGCACTTCCACGCCAGAATGCCACTGGGGATCTGTCCTCAAGGGAGGCTGGCCTGCTTCTTTATACTGCTGGCCTCCCTTTGCGAGGTCTGTATTGGCACCTTTGGGCCTTCCTCAGTCCCAGACCTCTGCATGGTGTGTGTCCCAGTACTTTCCCTTCAGGGTCTGCTGCTGCTGCGGCCATCTGGCCTGAATTTTGGACTTGATGCCTGAATTTAGACTCTCCCTTGGACTCGAATCTTGACTGGGACTTTATCCTTTGGACTTCCTTTGAACGGACACACATACTGCACGAACAGACACATCTACTGCTCGAACAGACATACATACTGCACGAACAGACACATTTACTGCTCGGACAGACATGGCCTGCACACCCCCTGGATGAACAGATGTGACTCCCATATCTGAATATTACAACCGTTCGTCCAGGGACACAACTGTGACCTTTAGCATTGACTTTTACTTTAGTTGGGATGTGACTTATGACCCAGAGAACATGCCTGTTGATCTGCTTTTCACGAGTTGGGGCTCTGGGCGAGTGACCCCTCTATGCTGCATTTCTCAGACAGGGTCTGAATCGGGTAAAGGCCCTTTTACTAGCAACGTATCCTGCATAAATACAAGGAGGATGTATAGCCAATAAGGGGTCTTGTAGTACAGGGTTGAATTCTTTTCCCGAATCAGTGCTGGGATGCATGCTGTCTTGATGTTCGTGCTGCGTCAGGTGTTGGGGTTGGGCCAGGGGTTGCGATAGCCGCAGCTGCAGTGTCCGCAGGGGTTGTTCTTGCCGGTCGACAGGCTCTGATGTTCCTGCACTCCATCCCTCCAATCTCGGAGGACCATCCTGCATCACGCCCAACCCATCCGGTTGCTCTTCCAATTGTTCGGAGGCCGGGGATTGGGGCAGTTGAAGGTGAACACTCCCGGGACATATGCTGTCCCCATGCACTATCTGTCCCGAAACAATCTGTTGAGCGGCGGTGTAACGAGCGTGAGGCTGAGGGTGAGCCGAGGGAGAGGAGAGAGAGGGGGAGAGTGAGAGCACACACACACACTCACTCACTCGACACGACGGACTCGGACTGAGGATCGGACGCAGACACAGTGGCAAGGCACAAATTCGAAGTCTTGGATTCCCGAATGCCGAAAACAGCAAGTCACACTGAGTACGAGTACAGCAGCAGAGAACTGGTACGAGACTGGTCCCCGTACCGTACGGGGAGCCGGTATAAGTACCGGTGACACGTACGGTACCAGGGGCATTTCTGCAAAGGCCCCGAGGGCAGAACTGAAAAATGCAGTATTTGAAAGTGGCGCCCGAATTGCAGCA